TTTACATATTTAGGTACTTAATAAAAATACTCTGCATTTGTACTTTTAGTATACTAAACTGGTATACTTAAAGTCTGCTAAATTGGAACAACTAATTTTGTACTTAATGCACTTTAATTTTGTGGAAGTAGTGCTGAAGTCCAACTAAAGATATACTGAAGTATATTTGATATACTGAAGTAGAACTATTGCAAGTATACCGATATTACTCAAAGATCATACAGTCCTCATCAATAGTGACAGCAAAACACATTTTAGGCTTAATATTAAGAAGAAATGTAGTACTCCAAATACATTTTAATTATAATTTTTATATCAGTAAGTCTGAAGCGATATGTAAGTAAATATGTTAATAGATTTTAACTATATTTAGTATGAAATACATGTATTTTAAATATACTACTTTTTTATGTAAATTTTTTTATATGACACTACATGAATGTTATTTTTGGCCAGGCTTAAATTCATGATTAAACTGAAGTGACAGATCTTTTCTTCCATATTGACATACATCCAAGTGAAACAGATTATTTAAAAAAATAAATAAATTAAAAAAATAGAGCGGGTCTTGGTTCTGTCCATTGGTTGTTGATTGGAAGAAGGCAAATCTGAATTTGAGCTTGCAGTCGACTTTATACAGTTTATGCAGACTAAATAATTGGAGAAGTCTGGCATACATCACCGGACAGAAGTTGATTCACCAGAAGATTAAGTTATGACATTTTGAAAAAAAATAATTTTATTTATTTATTTTAAAATTATTGAATTGTTCACAGTAAGAACATTAAGATGCACTTGGAAAACTTTCATATCATGACAATTTTAAGACACAAAACTCAGTCTTATACTTGTATATTTGCAGCAAAGTCACAATCAGGGGTCCTTGGACTGAAAAAGACTGCAAAACACTGCACTATACAAATTAAACTGACTTGACTAAATCTTAACAGGAACGACCTTGCTACTGATCAACTATAGAGATGCAGGGAAAGCTTAGCAGGTGTGAGAAAAATGGCAAAATTCAATCCAGTATTATACAGCAAGTGATTCATCAACCAGTGAGTCACCAGTACAAAAAAAGCAACTTCTCACATAGTCAAGAAAGCTTGTACAGAAGTCCGTGCACGACATACTTACTTATTTAGAGCAATATGACAGATATTACATCAGATATGAGGGCAGGATACACATAGCCAGAGGCATAAAATAATTAGCTTTTCAAAGAATGCACAGACTCGGTAATGAATGAAAAGATCAAGAACCACATCGTTTCATAATCTTGAGTCAGATAAACTTCAGCCAACGAGTAAAAAAAATGGCTACAGACCTTTCTCACGTCGCACTTCAGTTCACAGTATTCTCTTTTCATATGATAAACAAGAGGATGAAAGCACTAAATGGATAAAATAATTCAATCTCAATGTGGACGGCTTCCCAAAAATAATGCATATGTCCATTTATGTATGAAAAGGAAAGAGGAAGCAAAAGACACAAACACAAAAGCTCCTCTCACATCTTACTGTGCTGATAGTATGCTAAAAAAGCCGCTTTCACTCATTGCGAATAACAGATGCTTGAATGTGCTTTTAAAATATCTAACAAGTCACCATGCTTGGCTACTCGATTATTTCAAAAGTAAACATCAAGGGAGCAGACGACTCATTCACATCTAGTCAGAGTCGATGACCTATGCTATCAATATTAAACACTCTCCAGTCTGATCAAAAGACACATAAGCAATGAATTATAGGGCCTGTGTCCAATGAGGCACCTCTGTTTCATTTCACTGCACTGTGTGGTGTAAGAGCCGATAGAAGATGCCATTTCTGATATAAACTCTAAACGATCAAGCCTTTCTTTAGTGTGAACATATTCAAGCTCAAGTATATGAAAAGAAAACAAAAAAGAACAACAAAAACATTTTAATACGAGGATGAAAGGCACTTCACGATCAGTGACATTTAGGGAGATTCTAATGCAAATCATGTTTATTTCTGAATGTAATGTATCACAATACATTTTCATATTTATCCAGAGCCCAAACAACTCAATATCTGACAAAGCCTTAAGATGAGGCCTCATGAAAACACAGCTTCTGATCCATGAAGTATATTACTAAGAAATACGAATTCTGCTTGAGATACCACATATCCTGGACAGATAACTAAGATCATTAACACCAGTGTAACTGTGTGGGCGAAACTCTACTTGAAATCATGTTTTTTCTACATGGCATTTACATCATTCTGAAGTCAGAGCCGCTGGCACACCCCCATTACCCATCCTTAATGTATGATCCTCTTGGGATATCAGTGTGCACCAAATTTGTGCACTACAGCACTGGCAAGAATTATTATATTTTTGTAAGTCCTACAGAGCATTTTCTAAAGTTAAACAAAAGCCACATTTTCATCAGTGGGCAGTCAAATTCCTATAATATTAATTATTTACACTTTAAGAAAATTTTAAGAAATTAATTAATTTAGCAAGAATGCATTAAGCTGATCAAAAGTGACAGTTAGTTGTTACAAAAAAAAATCTATTTTGAATAAATGCTGCTCTTTTAAACTTTCGATTTATCAAGGAATTTTGACAAATGTATCATTTGTCTTGAGAAAAAAATTAGCATATTAGATTGATTTCTGAAGGATCATGTGACACTGAAGGCTAGAGTGCTGAAAAATTCAGAATAAATTAAAATGTACAAAAAAAAATGCATGTTTTAAATTATAATAATGTTTCACAATAGTGCTGTTTTTCTGTATTTCAAATGAATGCACCCTTGGTGAGCAATAAGAGATTCTTTCAAAAACATTTTTTTTTAATCTTACCGACCCCAAACTTTTGAATGGTAGTGTATATAAACTGGAAGACATTTATCCTTTCTGCACTTTTCTGGGCTGTTGACTGCTAACTGCACATCAGCATTTCTATATATGTATAGTGAGCAGTAGATTTTAAATTGAGCTGAGTGAGAACATGCCTCTCTGACCCTTGTCCTCCTCTTCCCGGGCACATTGCCAGAGGTTATCACGCAAATACACATGCGCGCGCACACACACACACAGGCAACAGGATCATATATATCAGAGCAGGTGCTAAACCAGACAGCAGCTTTGGGCCAAAACCGCTTACACCCACATTAGTAACACCATAAAAAAAACCTGCCCACCCCCTCTACATCTCACCACTACTGCACAACTGTATTTATCATTCGAAACAGTTCAAAATCTCCTGAAAATGTTTAGATATATTTTTGTGATTATCAACTAAATATTCCTTTGCTAAAATTACCCCTAAAGTGAGTAACCTCACCCAGGCTTTTCTTTCCATCTATGTTTCTATCCAATTCCCGCAAGAGATCAATTTATAAATGTCCTACTGGTGCATAAATATCATCTCAGCATGCTCTTGCAAACAGTGTTTGTCCTTCAGCACAGAACCGTAACTATAAGGGATCTGAAAGGAGGGGCGGGGCAGTGTGTGTGTGTGTGTGTGTGTGTGTGTGTGTGTGTGTGAGCAGGTTGCCTGGACAAGAGAGCGGCAGAAGACTGTTGTGGAGACGGAACCACCAACTGGGATCACACTCAGGAATTATGAACCTTTATAAACACTCACAGTCCCTCCTTCACACTCAGTCTGGCTCTCTCGCTTCCCTACCACTCATAAACTCTCTCTCTACCTCTCTATATTATGTTTCAGATTTCATATTAACTACTTTGAGCTATACGCACAAAGACGAGTAGACTTATAGCATGAGCGTTCACTTATTGCTAGAAGATGTGTGTTATTTTGTTCATAGTTCTTAAAAATTTAGCCACTCCACTTATTTTTTAGAATATGCACAATATTTTCTAGTCCTTGTGGATTCATTGATCGGTTCAGGGGAGTGGACCGGCTATTGTTCTCTGGACAAAAAGGAGCTCATCTTTTACAGCAGCAGCATGATGCTTGATTTCCAGCTTGAGGCTTGAATTTGATGCTTGATTTAGCATGATCATGATAAGCTCTACAAATCAGCCAGAACCGAAGGACTAGGACATAATTATGTTTATATTCCACAATTAGAATCTCAGCATCTAACCATGATTTTATGTGTCAGTCGCTGAAAGATTTATACCAGGATAGAATGCAAAATTACAAACAGATTTATTAATCAGACTTCACTGGCTACTGACCAAGCAGGTCCGCTTGTAATTGTAAACAAAACAAAATCTGAATAACAACGATATCTCTGAACTACCCATATAAGCTGACATTTCTATGAACATGAAGATTGTAGGTTCAAATTTGCATAAGGGGTGTATGAAGAACATTGTTAATCTTGCATGACCCTGTTCTTTTAAGCTTTTAGCCACTCAAACTCACTTTTTTAATATTGAAAACTGACTAGTATCTTAATATTTATTATTTAAAAATATATTAAAATTGTAACAAGTTTTATTCATTTAAAAATATAAAATATAGCTTAAACGTTTTAAAAAATCCAAATATTCCATGCCAACTACCCAGATAGATAGATAGATAGATAGATAGATAGATAGATAGATAAAATATTTTAATTTCTGGAGATTTAACGTGATAAAGTAAAACTTAACTGGGACTATTTTACAGTGCGACATATTTTCACCAACTTTTTTGAGGACTTTCCACGTTTTCGTCGTGACATTTTCAGCCGTGGTTCTTAATGAGAAAGTGAATATAGTCACACCAAAGTAATTTAGCTCTGAAAAGAAAAGGAGTGGCACACAAAAATTAAAGAAACAAACCGACGACCCTTCGATTTGCGCAATTTCCATCTCTTTGACTGAAACAACGATTTTAATAGTTGAAAGACGGCTGAGGAGGACGACTAGCATCATGTACGTGCTCGCAGCAGCGGGTTTGATGTTGCACTGAGAGAATGAAATCCTGCCGTATCCTTCACGAGAGCATCACTTCATTCCGCATCAACACGCTATTCGCAAACATAACACAAGACATCACACAACCCAGCCTACCTGCATAACCTTTGATGTTGTGATGTTCATATATAGAAGTCCTGTGTTTTCAGAGGTAGAGAGAGTGGGAACCGCACCGACACCGCATCCCGGAGTCTGAGGAGAACAGAAGCCTGAGCAGACGTAGAGAACAGCAGGGGGCGCTCCACTGCAGCGCTGGCGCAGTGTTGCCAGATTGGGCGGTTTTGAATTTGATTGTGCGGGTAAAAACTGGCTTGGGCGGGTGGATATAAGTAAAAAAAAAGTTAAAGAGTGGGAGAGTGACTCAACTCTCAAAACGTGAATTATTGTGGAGTGAGATGACACAAAGGCTCTATCACTGCAACTCCGAAATCAGAGCACATTTGAATTAATCATAACCGAAACTAAATATGTCGGTTTATACGAACATGTCTTTTATCTTTTAAACGTCCAGATTGATAAATCCTTGAAAACTTGATTAGTTTTGACTGTGCAAAGTTGTGTATTATGATCTACAATATTAACTTAACAAGAGGCTTCCTCTAGTTCTGTGTACAATTATAGAGCGACACGAAGGTAAGCGCATTATTGTTGTTATTTTTTTAATTGTCGGATTATAATTAAGTATCAATGAATGACACAGTTTTGAGTTGACTGTCATGGTGTGTGCATGAACGAGTGGGAAATACCTGCTAATCACTTATATTGGGCACTTTTTGCATTTAACTGGATTATTCTGACTGCTGACATTGAAAATCATGCATGTGTTGTTTCGAGGGTATCGGTTAATTTCATGATTGCCGTTTTGACAGTGTCTGCTTGCATATTTTATTCATGTTCGGTAGCCTAATTCTCTTTAATGTAGGCTATTCGCCCCGATTTGATCCGTTTACCTGCGAAATTTATCTTATTTATAATTTATCTTATTTTCTCGTCAATATTTTTGTTTTAAGGAGTTAAAATGGCCCTTATCAACCTTGATTGACATATTCTATAACATTATTTTGACAGTTAGTTTGGGCGGGTTTTTGTGAGCTTTTGGGTTGGAAATCGTCCATCCAATCTGGCAACACTGGCGCTGGGCTCAATCACAACAAACCCCACCCGAGACAGAGAGAGAGAGCGCTTGTAGCTTTTATTGTGTGAGGAAATGATCTTAGAATGATGCTATCATTTGAATTTACTTTAAATCAAGTCTTGATCAGCAAACTAACAAAGCTTAGCACTGAACGCGTGCGGTTCTAAGAGTTATTCTTTCTAAGCGGTCATTGATGTTTAATATGCCATCAATCGTTATTAATTATCATTAGTAATTAGTATCCATACAAATGTTTACCAATTCACTATCCACTACCCTCGTGATATCATTTACACAAAGCCATTTCTTTCTGGCCTTGTTTTGAAGGATAATTTCGCTCAAATTAAGCATCATCTCACTGTACGATCAGATTCTCCATATATTACATAAGAGAGATTTTCGCTGTTTCCGTGAAACGTATAATCTTTTCTTCCTGATGCTGTTGGATGTACATGCTAGTTGTTACATGTTATATCATACATGCAAATGAGAACACATTAGCTGATGTCTTAATGTTGCCATAGGACAATAAAAAATAATATGAAATAAAATCAATACTACATTAGCACAGAAAATATGAGATACTTAATTCCCTTCTCTTGCAGATGGTGTTCTGGGCCAGACAACATGAGATGGCGTTTCTTAAGGCTATCAGGCAATAAACAGCTTCCAATGCCCCAGATAAAACTGGACATGTGGTTTGAATACGTGCAATTTGGATGAGATGCCTTTGGGATACTGAAAACAATTACCATGCAGCTAGTCTTGCTTCTCTATTAATCCAGGCAGATGTTTTCACATTATGATTTCTACAAAAAGACAAGCAGATGCAAGCTCCTACAGAATATCATTAGGAAACCTGATTTGCTCCACTGAAGATATCCTTCCCCTGAAAACATTTCAACTAGCATCAGATTTCTTTGTTGCTTCTTTTCTTCACGTTTGATTCAGAGCAACATGTAATATTGCTTTATATAAATGACTTTTTCACTACTGTGCATAAAAGTCAAAATGTAGCATGGGCAAAATGGGAAGTCATTCAAAAGGCATTTTTTAACAGGCAGTGTGTGAATTTCTCTGGAAAGATTTCTGTTCCTTTTCAGACTGCCAAATAAATTGAAATGTCAAAATCAGCTTAAAACGGCAGAAAAGACCCCTTTATTCTAATGGTGCTGAAGCAGGAAAATTCAAACGAGACGTTGGAGACCACACAGTGAGAAAGCCCACAAACATCAGTTCCTAATCTCACTCCTCTAGTTATCTCTCTCTTAAAAAAAAAAAAGCAGATTCAAGGCGTAAGAACAAAAAAGAGCTTTCTATTTGGCGGAGGGTTGACTACAGTGGAGAGATGGCTATGAGCCAACCTGTCTCCCAAATACATGGTTGTCAGCCAAAAAAGAAAGCTTCAATCTGTCTGTTCCACTGAGAGCCAGATGAGAGGCTTGCGAGGATTTCAATTCACATTTATAAACATAGCAAAACGTATCTAACATTTTATCATAGCATTTAAAACATGCATTTAATTTAGCTTATTTTGGCTTCTGTTGTTGTAATCGTCATTAAAAAACAAGAAAAATACCTAGTGTGCCCCACAAATATTAATACGAAAAGAACAGAATTAAACAAGATTTACAAACTTTGTACACATTTTGAATGTGTGAGTTTGTTAAGGAACAAACTAACTTAAATTAATAATTTATTAAGTCACTAAAGAAAATCTTTACTTCAGAAAAAAAGCCAAAGGCCAAGAATATAAAGCACACCATAACAGATTAAAAATTAATGGAACAAGTGGAATCGTACAATTCTTCTTGCAATGATCACAATAGCTTCAGTGTCAAAAATGAACAGCCTAAAGCGTCTCTGTTTACTAGATAATCTCTTGTTTGATAGCTAGGCTTGTTCTATCTCCACAAGAACCCCATCACAGTCTTTAGGGTGGAGGAACATCACAGGTTTGCCATGAGCTCCTATCCGTGGCTCTGGGGAGAGCAGTCTGATTTTCTTTTCCTTCAAATCAACTATTGCAGCATTAATATCATCCACCTGCAATTGAACAAGCAACACATAAATTATGGATACTGACACTAAACTATGAAACAAGTTCCAATATTTAGTGTGAAGACATTTGCAATAAGATTGATTCACAAGAAACCTAGTTTATGAATTTTCATTATTTTTCTTTACTATTAATATTATTGTTATTATCCCATTTAATGTTATTTGTATATTGGAATATTGAAAAAGCAAGAATTAACAGATAAAATAATATTTAATACTGTATCCTAGTATTTAATTTTTGGTAACAACTAAAAATGCAGAAGGTGTCTTATTTTTATCCATTTACTTTTAAAAATTAAAGTATAAAAACATTTAACCAAATTTTCTTAATATATATTGTGATTTATGACTTTCTATGAATGCTGTTCATAGACTTCAGTTCAGCATTCAACACAATCATCCCTCAACAGCTCATTCACAAACTGGTCCAGCTGGGGCTCAACACTTCGCTGTGCAACTGGCTGTTGGACTTTCTGACTGGAAGACCTCAGGCAGTTCGGGTCGGCAGCAACACAAAAACAGTATCAGAATCTTCACATTTTGTTTAATTAATATAATGAAAAAATTGAAAAAAGCAGCGCTGTCAAAATTACAGCAGAAATACTAAACATCTTAGCCAATATAGGGGGGCTTTAAATATTATGTTGGACAATAGGGGGCCTTTAGTTAAAAACGTTGAGAACTAGCACTGATCTAACCTAATCTTATCTTATCTTTACCTCGATACAGATATGATGCATCCCTCCAGCTTTGTTCTTCTGCAGGAATCCTGCAATAGGGCTTTTCTCTCCCAGAGGGTGCAGAAGCTCTAATTTGGTGTTTCCCAGTTCTACAAACACAGTGTACACGCCGTGCTCAGGGAGAGGCACGGTGGCGCTTACTTGAGCCCCCAGCACATCACGGTACAGTGCTGTGGCTTTCTCTAGGTCTGGTACTGCGATAGCCACATGATTCAGTCTGCCTAACTTCCATAATGACTGAGGGACACCTTGACCGACGGGTACAGTCTGAGACACTGCCCTCACTGAGGGCAAAGTGTGCCACGCACACCTCGAGAGACCTGTAACTACAAGAGAGATTTATGACTGCAGTATGGACGCATTAAATATAGAACAAAACTAATCTATAGGTGAATTTTATTAACAACAGCTGTCAAAGAGTAAGATACAGACAAGTGCAACGTGTGCAGTTAGAATAAAACAGCTCTAAATGTTGCAAACATTTAAAGGAAAAACATAGAGACACTAAAACAATATCGATTTACTACCGCTTACCTGCAACTTTCAGTAAAGAGGAAGCCATCTTTGTGGTCATCGCAAACAAACAAAACTTTATTTAATCAGCGCGAATCACGTGTTCGGTTAGGGTAATAGATGCATAATTTACCCATATAAAAATTTTCAGAATATTTACATTTTAAAAACAGAATTATGGTAGACTAAAAAACAGTAATTCGCAATATTAAGAAACACGGTTATATGGAACCTTCTATGTGGAACGCAACACAGTGCATTTTGTTTCCGGGGGTTGTATTTACAAAGCGTAACGTTACGCGGCAGAGACCCATGTGATCGCAGAGATGGCGACCGGGGATGGCAGCATGTTGGAGAGCTGCTTACAGTTACTAAACAGCGACACAGCACACCCGGATCTATTTCTCAGGTTAGATACACGTTAAGTGATTAAACGTTATGCTGTTTTGCTGAATGCCTTGTTAATTTAATATAGAGCACGTTAAACGAGCTGAAACGCGTGTCGGGCCACACATGTGCCAAAGTCTCACGTTGTGGTGGTGGTTACTAGTTTAGTATATGTGGCCTACCTTTCTCTTACATTTCTCTCATGTTGATTTCTATGGATGTTTTATTTATAGACTCTAAGTAAATATATATTATATATAATATAATATTACAAAGTGAAAGTGACGTGACATGTGGCCAAGTATGGTGACCCATACTAGGAATTAGTGCTCTGCATTTACCCATCCAAAGTGCACACACACAGCAGTGAACACACACACACCGTGAACACACACCCGGAGCAGTGGGCAGCCATTTATGCTGCGGCGCCCAGGGAGCAGTTGGGGGTTCGGTGCCTTGCTCAAGGGCACCTCAGTCGTGGTATTGAAGGTGGGAGAGAGCGCAGTACATTCACTCCCCCCACTACAATCCCTGCTGGTACGAGACTTGAACCCGCAACCTTAAGATTACGAGTTACGAGTCCGACTCTCTAACCATTAGGCCACGACTTCCCCACAAATAAATGCGTTTAAACGTTTCTCTGTTATGTTTTCAATCTTTATTCAGTGTCCAGGATGCTCTGGCAACAGACTTCAAATCACTTACCAAGACTCTTTATGATCTGCATAAAGCCCATGAGCCTGCAGACTGCAAAGGAAGCCCACTGGAGCAGCTGGTCATCGAAAACTTTGATGAGGAGCAGATCTGGCAGCAGCTGGAGCTTCAGAACGATGCATTACTGACACATTTTGAGGAGGCAGTTGAACAAGCTGTCACAGATGACACTATAACATTTTTTGATGATGATGATGATGATGATGAAGAGGAGGAGGAAGATGGTGATAATGGGGAAATTGCTAATAATTTAGAAGAAGAGAGTGCAGAGGAAGATGAGGATGATGATGATGAGGACAAAGAGGAGGAAATTAAGCAGAGGTTGAAACCATCTGCAAGCAATGAGGACGATGACTTCTCTGGTGAAGACTCGGATTTGGACTTTGATGTAGATAAATTTGAGGAAAAAACCAAACAGAAACAGTCAGCTGCCAAATTATCAAAGTCAAAATCTCATAGGACTCCATCAGAAGTAGATGACAGGTTTTTTAAACTGTCAGAAATGGAAGCTTTTTTGGATGACATGGATAGAAGAGAAGGAAAGGACAGCGTAGAGGACATAGACTACTTTCAGAATTTGCCATCTGATGATGACGAGGAACTAAGCTTTGATAAACCTGTAGCGCTCACAAAACAGGAAAAGGTAATGGTGTAACAGACTTTTCCTGAGCCTTGATTTATTTGTTCAAATATTTAAATTTGTTGCATCACCTTTATGGACCCCAGGGTGTAAAACTATGGGTCTAATATACAGATGCATGTAACAGGATTGTGTAACACAGAAGTATCAAAATCAGTATTCTGAATAATGTTTTATTTCAATATTTCTTACTTTGTACAAACATGAATTCAAACCGACACCTCATGAAACTCGGTGTCTTTTGTTTTACAGAAGAAAAGCTCCAGAGATATGAAATACAAAGATTTCTTTGCTCCAGTGGATGCAGAGCCAGAAGAGATGGATCCAGATGAAGAGAAGGAACCAGAATCTAGTGATGATTATGAGGGAGAAGAAGATGATGGCAATGAGCTGGAGGAGGAGGATGAAGATGATATGAATGAGGAGGATTTTGAGATGGATGAGTAAGTCATGAGGATACCTGCTGTCCTCTTTTGTCGTGTTTTAACAGAATATAATGCTACAGCATTTTCTTTTAACGATCTAATGCATTTCACATCTTAATTTAGGGATGACACAGGTGATGGAGCAAGAAATGCTTTACGCAAGGTGACCTTTGACCTCCCTGACGATGACAGTGAGGGGGAGGATGTGGAAGATATTCTAGGTGGAAAAGCCAAAAACGTGCCTAAACCGGAGTCCAAGTCATCCTTTGAAAAGAGACAGGAAAAGGTTTGTCTTTGTACTTCGTAATCTTTATTTGTGATCTTTAACTGAAAAAAGTATTTAATCAAAATCTGCATATTTAATTATTTCAGTTTTGGTTTTTATTTGTGTCCAGTTAGTAATTTTAGTGCTTCAGCTTTATCATTTTCATTTAGCTTTTCATGTATTATGTATGCTTCATTTCAGCTTTATTTCAGTTAACGTTTTAGTTGACAATACTAACCCTGATTTGATATGAATTTAAACAGATGGCAAAAAAGATTGAAGAACTGGAGAACGCTGCATTGTCCGAGAAGCCGTGGCAGCTGACAGGAGAGGTGAGCGCTCAGACTCGACCGGAGAACAGCATGCTGGAAGAGGATGTGGCGTTTGACCAGGCCTCTAGGATGGGTGAGAGCGTCACGCTGATTGTCACAGCAAAAGACTTGATGTCTTGAAAGTCTTTATCGATTTGTTCATCACTTTGTTTCTCTCCTCCACAGCTCCAGCCATCACAGAAGAAACTACCTTACAGCTTGAGGAGATTATCAAACAGAGAATCAAAGATCAGGTTCGTTTAAACCTCATGTTCTGTGTTTAATGTTCATGGACCTAATTTGATGCCATCTTTGTTTGGAAGAGATAAAGGCAAGTGAAGTGGCTTTAAATCATTTCTTAATCCATTTTGTGCAAATTGTCCATTGAATTGAATACCACAGTTTACTTGGGAATGTTTTTATGAATGATTGTCAGCTTGTTTTCATAAATATGACCCAGTGTACTTCACTTTTTTTGTTGTTTTATGGTTGTGGTTGTGCTTCAGGTGTGGGATGATGTGGTAAGGAAGGAGAAGCCTAAAGAGGAGGTGTTTGAATATAAGAAGAGACTCACTCTGGACCACGAGAAGAGCAAACTGAGTCTGGCTGAGGTTTATGAGCAGGAGTATATCAAACAGACACAGGTGAGTCCTGTCTCGCATTTCACCTCCTGCTCATTCTTATGTACAGTTATAAAACCTATTTGGGTTGTAATTTGAATGAAGTCTAAAATTGTGTTTAATGTATATAAAAATGTGAGTTACATAGTACACAACCATTCAAAAGTTTGGAATGATTAAGAGCTTTTTTTGAAAGAAGTCTCTTATATTTACCAAGGCTGTGTTTATTTAATCTAAAAAAAAAAAAAAAATACTATTAAAATTTAAAAGAACTGATTTATATTTGATTGAAAATGTAATTTAATACATTATATAGTATAGTATATATATAGTATTCTGTCAATATAGTAACCATAAAAAGTATTTCAACACTGAAGTCACACATTCAAATGTCAATTTTGTTGCATTAGATGCAAAATATCAAAACATCTGGCATTGGTTGAGCCACTTTTTTGATTATTTTTTAAAACTCTTTTCATGGATGTATGAAGTCAGTTCCTGTCACATTAACAAATGAACATGTTTCACAATGTTTACCAACCAGAATTTTTTTTTTTTTAAATATATCTTCATATATTAAAACCTAACAAGCTTAGTTTTGGGGAATGTTAGGTCTAAAAACTAAAAAGTATGCCTGTGCTGTATTTCTTTAAAAGAAATGTTACTTGTTTTGAATTTGGGATGCACAATCTGTGATACATGTTACATAAAATTGTATTAATTATTATTAAGTATTTTAATGATTTTATTATTTCTTGTGTATAAAATACTTTTTGGGGCTGCTGTAATGTTCAGTAAATGCATCCAATGAAAAAATACAAGTTATATATTTATTAATTAACATTTTGTGATTATTTATGTTTGCTAATAGTGTTTACTAAATGAATAAATTTATATACTCATTTAAAATTTAAATTATTCCTATGATGGCGAAACTGACTTTTCAATATCCATTACGCCGGTCTTCAGCATCACATGATCCTTCAGAAATTATTCTAATATGCTGATCAAGAAATATTTCTTATTATCAATGTTGAAAAATATTGTTGTGGAAAATATAATTTTTTTAAGGATTCTTTGATGAATAGAAAGTTCAAAAGAACAGCATTTAATTGAATTAGAAACCTTTTTTTAACATTATAAATGGCTTCCCTGGCACTTTTGATCAAATGAATACATCCTTGTGGAAGAAGTATTAACTTCTTTTAAAAAAAAGAAAAAGTCTTACTGACCCTAAACTTTTATATTGTATTATATTATATTTTTTGTGGGCTTCAGGAAAAGAAGGAAGAGGAAGAGAACCCAGCGCATATAGAAATCCAGAAACTTATGGACACACTCTTCCTTAAACTGGATGCGCTATCAAACTTCCACTTCACACCAAAACCAGTGAGTAAAATAGTCCTTGTAGCTTGAGCCAGCTATAGTGTCTTCCTGCATGTGTGACGAGAAAAACAAACAAAACTGATACCTAAAGAAATGTTCAAAAACCTTTCAATTTAGCTGTTCATTGAAACAGCTGATGTAAATCTGGAAACATGGAGTTATATTGGCCTAAACATGTAAAATGGATTTCTGATCTGTCTCTGTTTAGCATATTCCTGAGGTGAAAGTGGTTTCCAACTTACCTTCTATAACTATGGAGGAAGTGGCTCCAGTCAACGCCAGTGACGCCACACTTCTGGCTCCAGAGGAGATTAAGGTTTGTGTGGCCTGCTCGCATCAATTCATGTTGATCAGAAAACCTCACTTTTAAGTGTTTAGGAAAGAGTTTGCTTTGTAGTTTTTGAGTGAAACATTTACACAAGTTAGATCTCAGAATCTTCATGAGATGTCGATGCAGTTTTATTTTCCCTTATCTCAGGAGAAGAATAAGGCAGGAGACGTACTCGGAGACACAGAGAAAACCACTACAGATAAGAAACGAGAGAGACGCAAGAAGAAGAAACTGAAGCGTCTGAAGATTCAAGAGCGGGAGAAGAGACAGAAAGTCAAAGAGGTGATGAAAGGAGGAGACAAGAAGAAGAGTAAAGCTGAGGTTGAACAGACTCTCAAGAAACTTACTAAAGGAGGAAAAGCCAAAATACTCACGGTCAGTAACAAAGTCAAATGCAGCATTAATGAATACAATTAAGTTATTGTGTTTTTGTTTAGGTGTATAACTTTTTTTTCTTTTCCTCCTGTACATTCTGACAGAATGATGGCATGGATAAGGCCCTGCGTTCCTCTCAAGCCTTCTTCTCCCAGTTACAAGACCATGTCAAGAGCCAAATCAAGGGCTCAAAGGGCCAGACGGCAAAGAAGAAGAAACAAAAAGAGATTTCTGTAAACAAGCTTAAGTTGTAATGTTGACTTGTGTCAAAAGCAGTATGTACAGTTGTTAGTTTTAAGAGAAATCTAATTGTTGTATCCTGTCATTTTTTTATTAAAATACAGCTTTCTTTTTCCTGTACATTTGAGTCTTGGGAGTTTTATCTGTATATTTTTGGACTATATTAAACTTAGTCTCACTATTAAATCTTTAAACAATAAAAAATATTTTTCACTCTTACTATAAATATTGCTTGTGAAGAGATAGAAAGCTCTTTTACAGATCACCTCAGAGAACTGGGAGTGATATATTATTAAATCAGTCTTTCATTAAAATCACCAGTACACAGTATTCTGTCAATATAGTAACCATAAAAAGTATTTCAACACAAGTCAGACATTAAAATGTCAATTTTGTTGCATTAGATGCAAAATATCAAAACATCTGGCATTGGTTGAGCCACTTTTTTGATTATTTTTTAAAACTCTTTTCATGGATGTATGAAGTCAGTTCCTGTCACATTAACAAATGAACATGTTCCACAATGTTTGCCAACCAGATTTTTTTTTTTTATATATATCTTCATATATTAAAACCTAATGAGCTTAATTTTGGGGAATGTTAGGTCTAAAAACTAAAAAGTATGCCTGTGCTGTATTTCTTTAAAAGAAATGTTACTTGTTTTGAATTTGGGATGCACAATCTGTGATACAGGTTACATAAAATTTAATTAAGTATTTTAATGATTTTATTATTTCCTGTGTATAAAATACTTTTTGGGGCTGCTGTAATTTTCAATAAATGCATCCAATTAAAAAATACAAGTTATATATTTATTACCATTTTGTGATTATGTTTACTAAATGAATAAATGTATATACTCATGTTCAGTTAGTCATAGCACTAAGTGGACAGAAGAGGGCATTACTGTCGACTTTAGTGCTTTGTAATGTTTCCTTTCTTTGGTTACAGCTAGTTTCAGCTGAACTTGTGTTCTGAGAACATTAACCAATTAGATTAAAGAAAGCTTTTACTGATTTCTAAACTCGTAAAACTATTAGAAAGTAATATTTAATGTCTTAAAGAACAAAAAAGGCAGGTTTCCATTCAAACGTGGCAATTCTTTTTATTTGCATGAAAATCTGAAGAGCCAAATTTTGCATATTGCCACACAAGGCTCCCCCTGAGCTCACAAACAAAAACTAAAATTAAGAACCTTTACACAGACGCAACTTACTAACCAATTATATCTAAACAACTTCCACACCGAGCTTTGGAATTAGTCAGAGCTGTTCCATTCACACACCAGAGGGAAAACTCCTGTGATGTGTTTTGTAGCTTTTTAATATCCAGAGTGAAAAAAAAATGAACAGGTACACTGCAATCAGGGCCCACAACAAGGCACAGAAGATTTGTAAAATATCCCTGTTTTAGTTTCTTTGCATAACTGAATAAATATCAGTGCTGTTTGACAAATCAAACTGTGCCATTAGAAAAAAACACAGTTTTCATACTCCAGACAGCATTAGTGGTAAACTACACACATACTGTGCATTACTTCAGACTAGTTAAAGAGTATCAAGGGAAAAGGGTAAGTACCAGTTCTAGGAAAAACAAGTAAAAGAATATAAATTGGAAGAAAAAAAAACAAAATACAGTCCCCAACCATAATAAAAATCGGTTACATATCAAAAAAGGCTACATATCAAACCAAGACGTCACTGTCACACTAGTAAAGTAACTCCAAATAAAAGCAAAAGTTCACAGGTGCACTAGCACATCTTTCTCAAATGATAATGTCTAATCTGACGCTCAGATGCTGTTTGAGACACTGACTGCAATGCAAGTCAAATCAACCAGCTGATTGGCATGAGCAGCTGTCAGTCACCTTCAAACAGCCATGCTGTGCTTCAGAAAGCGACGGGACTCACAGACCGGAATCCAGCCAGCCTGAGAGGCACCCATATGTGCACAGTTATTGCCTGCTATAAGGGTTTAAACTGATAAACCCTGTCAATTCCTTTATCAAGTTTCACAATTTTGGTTATTGATTTTAATACAGCTAACTACGGTTAGACCTTACCAGAAGGTTTCAAGAAATCTTAAACTATTTTAGGATTAAAAGATAAAATATATGCACATTTTATACCATAGATTTAAGTTATAGTTCTACAAAAACACTATATAATAAAGTTTAATTTGTCACATCAATTAATGCATTAGGTGTCAAGAACCAGGTTAATGTTATTTCTACATATACTGTAATTTTAAAGTTTGTATAAATGAATATTAGTAAACGCATAATGAATAAATGATGATAAAAAGAAATGCATTTTGAGAATCAAATCAGCATATCAGAATGATTTCTGAAGGATCGTGTGATACTGACGACTGAAATAATGACTGCTGAAAATTCACCTCTGCTGTCATAAGAGTAAACATTAAAATAGAAAACTTACTGACCCTAAACCTCTGAATGGTAGTGTGTATTCACATGGAAATGTAACATTAGCTGTAAAAATTGTTTATTGTTAGTTCATGATCCCTAATGCATTACCTAATGTTAACAAATTGAACCTTAATATAAAGTGTTACCAGTTCTACTTCCTTTCCAACTAATGCCACAAGCTCCACACAAAAATCCACCAAATCTTTTAACACCAGGAGAAAAGTCCACACAGGCAGTGTACAACTGATCCAAACAATCCTAAGTCAGAAAGATGTGCGATTGGAGCTTTATATTCAATCATGTGCAAAAACAAACCCTCATTGACTGACAACGCTCAACAGACTGAATAAAAATGTCCAGGTAACTGTCAGTACCACAAGCCTGCACATTCCAAATGAGACCTAAATACAAGTGAAAAGATCTTCCTGTTTGTTTGACCTCACAGTCCTATCAGTCCACAGTCTGCCCTCAAATCGTCTCATTAGCCAGTGTCTCCGTAGAGAGCCAGATCTTGGCTCCGTTGAGTAGCTTGCTAAGAGGAGTCCCCAGGACGCCGGGGCGACACAGATTGCCCACAGGAGAGAAAGGGAACGAGGAGCTGAGGTACTCTGGAGGAGCAGGGGACTGGTGAGGAGTCGGAGTCGCCTTAAAGTACATTTTGCTGTGCTCCGCGTGCAGGTTGTTAGGAGTACCCGCTGCTCCTTGGTACTGCCTCAACTGGTTCTGGAGCATTTCAATCTCGTCTGTGAGCACTGAGAGCTTGTGAAAGGCGGTGATGGGCCCGCCCTGAGGAATCTGTGCCTCGGGAACCCAGCGCAGGAAGTAGAGCTTCCAGACAGAGAGGTGAGATGGGAGGAGCTGGGGGAGCAGCAGGCCCTGTAGGTCGACAGGACGAGAGAAAAAGTCCCGAATGAAGCGTTCCGATGGGGTCTCCTGCTGCTCCCGCACCTGAGACAAATCAGAACGGAGACGCAGCACGAGGGAGTTCCGGCGCGCCAGGGTGTCGTTCGGTCCGAGCGAGCCGTTTCTCAAAGCAGAGGGCAGACCCCGCAGTGTGGAGCTGTAGTTTTTCTGAGGAAGAAGCCAAAAATAAATAATAAATATCATTATCTTTCAGGACTCTGAACCGGTTCAAGGAACGAAAACCGAGAAACGAATGAAATTTTGATTTCCGAGAAACGAAAGAAATCAACAGTTTCATTTAACAGTTCTGAACAGAATCGAACATTTAAAATGGCCATTAACCGGTTAATAACGTTATTTTATCGTTCCATTAGATATTTGAATTTTGCAGTTAACCAATCATGAATTTAAGTAGTACGGCCAAGGAAAATGTAACGTTGACGCATCCAACGAGTAAAATGCCCACGCTAAGCTTTAAATTCATCATAGCTAAGTGGCAATGGCAGCCTACCGATTTAGGCTGTTTTTTTTCTCTCAGAACCTAATTTTATACGAGTAGCATTTTTTTTAATCATGCAGCAAGCATTTTTAAATATCTCGAAAAAAATACTTTAATGTCTTTAAAGCGTTGACAGTTTTTTCTTTCGTTTAATACATTTGGCCAAAATCTAGAAAAGATGATGCTGTATTGGCTGTGTCTAAGCGCAAGATACCAGATCAAGACCTTTGTTTTTTCTTTTTGATTAAAGTAAACACTGAACTTTAATATTATTATTATTATAGGCAAAGAAAACGTTATTTCTACTCAAACCGGTTTCGGAACAGTAATAATACAGAGGAATGCAGGAACAGAAATGTTTAAATACCGTTTCTGCTCAAGGTGTACCGCTTAAATTTTTTTTGTTTTTAAGCCCCGTTATCTTTTGCTGTTGACCGGTATTACCTTAGAGACAACAAAGTCTACTGTATACAGACTAGCAGAGATAAAGAGCTCACCTTGCTGCGCCTGTGTGTGAATGTCTTCACAGTGCCGTTCTGCACACAGGTGGCGATCTTGCCCACGTACAGGGGATTATTAAAGAGAGTCTGGTCTTTAAGACTGAACTGTTGAGACCAGTCCCATACTGGAGGAAAGCGCAGAGCCTGGTCCTGCCCCAGGTGAATACTCTTACTGCTTGCAAAATCCTGAAGAGATAAGAGAGAAAGAGGCAAACAGACATAGAAAGGGAGAAGTCAACTAAACGAGGTAAAAAAAAAAAAACTAAATAAATGCACTGAAAAAAATTAGTGATTTGATATGATATTACAATAACCTACTGTAAGATAGTGGCTTTACATGGGTTGGACAAAATAATGTGAACATTTGGGAGATATCTCTTTCAATATTGCTTTGGCTATAAACAGCCTACAATTAGGACTAATTAATTATTTAAGCAAGAACTGACGACTGTTAATAATAAACAATTATGAAAAAAAATTAAGAATACATACAAATATTTTTTTAAATATACTGAAAAAGCACACTTCTGTTGTCACTTTGTCACACTGAAGACTGGAGTAATGGCTGCTGAAAAATTCCACTTTGCCATCACAGGAATAAATTACATTTCAAAACAGATAAATATAGAAATTAACTTATTATTATTTTAAATCCCTATAATATTTCACAGTAATCACAGTTTTTTATGATTTTTTTATCAAATAAATGCAGCCTTTGTGAGGATAAAAGATGTTTTTCAAAAATATTTAAAAATCATACTGACCCCAAACGTTCGAATGCTAGTGTATACATTTATATTTATAATTAAATATAAATTTAAATGTATACATTTATAATTATATATAGTATATTAGCTTAACTAAATAAACCGACAAGCATGCAAACCTTCTGTGCTCTGCTATTTAATTTTAGGACTGTTTACACCAAGGACGATAACTATAACAATAACTATCAAGTTTTAATAATCATTAATATAACAACTAATTAAACAAACTTAAATTAAAGGGGTCATACGGTACGATTTCAATTTTTCCTTTCTCTTTGGAGTGTTACAAGCTCTTAGTCATTTTTCCGATCACAAATACAGACATGGTTTTATGTTTACGCGGCGTGGCGCGATGCAACGCAATGCGTAAAAAGACAGTATAAGTCATTATAATCCGTAATTATGTCCCCACTGGATGCAACGAATGCCTCGTTTATAATGGGTTTTAATGTTTTTGTCTCGTCGCTCTGGCCGGACAGGGCATCACAGTATGGTAGGGGCGTAACATTTCCGTCACACGCTTGAGGTATTAGGCCAATCACAACACACTGGATAACTGGCCAATCACAGCACACCTCGCTTTTCAGACCGATGAGCTTTGTAAAAATCGACGCGTTTCAGAAAGGCGGGGCATAGAGGAGAAACAATAATGTACAGTATGTGGAAAATAATGTTTTTTTTTAACCTTAAACCATAAACACAAACACATTTCATTACACCAAATACACAAAATAATGTTCTTTTTAGCAGCATCATATGACCCCTTTAAAATTTGTCAAAAAGCATCTAACCCTGCTGTGCTCTGCTCTTTGTCGGGGGCAGTTAAAGAGGAAGGTGCTGAAGACGGGGACCCACATACTGTCCCCCAGCACTGTCAGGTACACCTCAGTGAACTCAAAGGCTGCTGGGTACTGACTCCACAGCTGCCACACACAGTCCAGGAACAGCAGGAACACAGGAGACTGCAGAAAGAAACAACATTAACAATAGAAAAAAAAGAATAATATGAATATGAATAACATATATATATATATATATGTGTGTATACATGTATAAATGAACAAACAAGATCCTTTAATCCAACTGCTATAAGCTGTACTACCTCCTCTTTGTCGTTCTTCTTCAGATGGTTGCAGCGGTCGAGGAACCGATGGCCAGCCATTATCCATTCCTTCTGGATCAGTCCCTGGAAGCCGTGCAGACTCCTGCAGTGAGGATCGCACATCAACTGCACCAGACAGGAAATCACACAACTCAGGTCCCGATCCTCTTTCTCTGTACACACACATATACAGAATGAAGAAGATCATTAATCACTTCACATAAGATTTACAAGATATTACATTTGAGATATTAGATTTCTCTATAACAGACAGCAGAACAATTAAAGGAATAGTTCATTCAAAAATCTGCTGAAAATGTACTCACCCTCAGGCCATCCAAGATATAGTAAATTTTCTGAATTTATTTATTTATTTTGGGTGGGGGATGAACTATTCCTTTAAAGGAATATTTATTTGTAAAAGGGCTTTTTTACCTAGGAGTGCGACAGACACATGTCTGCTCTCCAGCATATAGACTACCTCTACTGCATGCCGAAGAAATGTCCTGTAAAAAATGCATACAACACAGATCTTAAAAGTGTACACAGCATCAACATCTATAGACAGATTTGTTGAGACCTAAATAAACACCTGAGAATGCACAAACTGAAATGCCTGTTGCCAACATTTCTGGCACAAGCGGAGACATCAAATATGCTGTTTGGTGACTACTGAGTGTTTCTCAATCATACCTGACATACTCCATCCATCTTGAGCTCTCTAAGGATGACAGCCACTTCTCTTCAGACTCCTCAAAGGAATCTACATATGCATATAAATACAGAGGCAAGCATAAGATGCTTTAGAGCCAATGTCATTTCCACCTGGTATCAAGACGCTTTTTAAATGCGCCTCCTGTGTGACCACTTGTGCTCAAATTTCATCTAGACCCTGTCCTCTTATTTTGTCACACTGTAGACTGTACAGGAGCACCAAGTGAAGCACACAAACATGACTGAACGAATGAAGCCATTACTCTGCTTATAAGTAAGTGGGAAAGGAATCAAATGGAAATAATAAACATGTCAATTGTGATTGTAGTATGTATTGGCACAACATATTGACACTATGAAAGCAATCATTTTATACCCTGTTTACACCTGTATTTAACATTGTTTACTTGTGACAGGATGGTGTAAAGAGGGTCAAAGTGAATAAAGCAATAAACAGATGACTTACCACGAGTCAGCTTAGATAATTTGGATAATTTTACAGATTTTAATTCTCAGAGTAAGAGTATCAAGTGTTTAAAAACTGTATTTGCAACTAACCTGTTCTTAATGGCACCAGGAGGCACTGTGTGGGTTTCTTGGAATAACCAAAAATATTCCTGGCCCTAACCGGAGCCCAGACTTAAGCTAAATAATTAACATGAATAAGCCTGGTAAGGATTTCCTTAAGGAGTTAAAGTCTTATTTAACTGAGTGTGTACCGCAATCATCCCTTTCTCCAGCAGGCTATTGATTACCTATAACACAAATCTGCCTCAGTTTCAGCAGAGCAGCCTGAATATCCTGGATGTTTGGGAGGTTTTTGTCCAAATCTGACTTGAAGACATCACTGCGGAGGGGGTGGCTCTTAGTGATGGCACTGGAAATCCTGCAGAAACACAGAGGATTTAACCACATTTTCTGAAAATGACTGCCTGTATTGTTGTAACCTGAGCAGATCTAGCAACCCTACTGAGTTTATGTTGCCAAATGATTTGAGATGAGCAGACAAGCACAATCACAACATTTGATACAATTTCCAAAGCCATTAAATAATATTTGGGAAAATAACTGTTTATAGAGTATATTATCAGCTAAAGTGAATCTACTTTCCCACAACAGAACGATTACTGCTTCATTTCACCTTAAATCTGTGGTCAAACCAAATCTCTTAATTAGACTGCAATTCTTTTTCTTACCGCTGCTCCACCTTTCTCTGCTGCTGCGGGTCACTGATGTTAGACATGCGGACCAAAGCGCTCCCACTGGAGTGATTCCAGCACCACAACTACAAAGCAAAGTTCATACACATATGTGACCCTGGACCACAAAACCAGTCTTAAGTCGCTGGGGTATATTTGTAGCAATAGCCAAAAATACATTGTATGGGTCAAAATTATTGATTTTTCTTTTATGCCAAAAATCATTAGGATATTAAGTAAAGATCATGTTCCGTGAAGATATTTTGT